TAGATAGATAGATAGATAGATAGATAGATATAGATAGATAGATAGATAGATAGATAGATAGATAGATAGATAGATAGATAGATAGATAGATAGATATATAGATATAGATATAGAGATATATAGATATAGAGATATATAGATATATAGATATATAGAGATATAGAGATATAGAGATATAGATATATAGATATATAGATATATAGATATGTAGTGCCGGTCAGAGAACAATTGGGACAAATGACTATTATGTGTGTATTGTGTGTTACTATGTAAATTTGTAAATAGAACAATAAAACTATATAGGCGTGAAAATTGACAGTGTGTATAAAAGGACAATTTTAATACGATTTGGTGTGATTTCTTTAGTAAATAAAGCGTGTTTGTACGAAGTTGTTTTACTTTTCTGTGGCGGTTTTTTTTTCGACACGATCTCGCTTAATCTGGCACAACATTGGTGGCAGCGGTGGGATATTTCATGCCTTTAGAGAAGGTATGCCAATGACAACGAGATCGGCAGCGAGATTAAACAGTGAGGAAACCAACGAAGACGACATGGATGACCGCGGAGAAGAAAATACACGTATCACGGGCAGTGATGAGAATTTTGTTGAGTTATTTTCGATGATGAAGCAGCAAACTGAGCTTATAATGGAGCACAAAGTGGCCCAAACAAAGCAAATGAACGAAATACAGCGTTTGATTGGTGATATTGACGGGAAAATGGAAGGAATTAGCAAGCGACAAGACCGGCTAGAAAGGAGACTAGACAGAGTCGAGACAGACCTTGCGTACGTGAGTGGTGAAGTCGAAAAGTCTGGGGAAAGTCAACGAAACACTATGGCTGTGAGTGTTGAATGTTTCGAAGCAAGGCTTGACGTAGTGGAGAATCGCGTAGACAGGTTCGGCGAGGGCATAGACACAATCCAAAAGGAACTCGTGCCGAAGTTAAAAGAAAGCGTTCTCGAAGAACTTTTAGCCGAAATTAACTTGAAAGAAACGAGGAAACAAAATTTAGAAATGCTAAATCGGGATGTGAAAAATTCTCCGCAAGGTATCGAGAACATTCGTGCCAACAAAATTGCGACTCCCGTTTTTCCATCACCCAGAAGGCGATATACCCCATCCACGTTAAAACCCGAGGATAGTGGTTGTGTTACCTCGACGAATGTTCGCGTCAGAGATGCTGAGGCACCCAACAAGCTTTTACAGAAACCAACGACCTTCGATGGCACAACATTATGGGAATCCTACTACGCGCAGTTTGAGATAGTGGCGCAATTAAACAAGTGGAATGATTTTCAAAAAGCAGCCTATCTTGCTACAAGTTTGAAGGGACCTGCTTTGGCGGTGCTGGGTAACTTGGCTCCTGAAGAACGTCAGAATCTCGATGTTTTAGTGGTGGCGTTGAAGAATCGATTTGGAACAAGTCATCAAACGGAACTATCACGAATGAAATTCAAAAACCGCATCAAGCAGAAAGATGAGTCATTGCCTGAAATGGCCGAGGATATCGAACGGTTATGTCGACTCGCTTATCCAGACGCCCCTCCTACGCTACGTGATGTACTCGCGCGGGACCAGTTCGTTGATGCGTTGACTGATGAAGATACCCGATTGCGTATTAAGCAAGAAAGACCCAAGTCACTGCGAAAAGCCTTGGAAGCTGGTCTTGAGTTGGAGTCGTTTCAGATAGCTGCTCGACAGCGTCTCAAAGTGTCACGAGAAACAGAGTTACTTCGTGCAGCTAGACCAAGTGGTACAGAGCAGAAGGAGCAAAGAAAGTACAACCAACTCGAGGAGGGAAAGTTGGAGATGACGAAGATACTCGAACGTCTGGAAAGGTCGATGAAGCTTTGTCTTGACGGTGTTTTGGCAGCGGTAAAGGTACAACGAAGGTCGCCGAAAAAGCCTGGTTGCTGGAATTGTGGTGATTTGAATCATATTAGAAGAAACTGTCCAAAAACACGCAATGATGACGAAGAATCGGATGATCAGGGAAACGGGAAGTAGCTGGTCCTACGGGGCGAGTGCCAGCTCAACCGAATGCTCCAACCAAAATCTTAAAAACAGGAATGATGCAAGGAATAGCGGACAGTTTGATCATATCTGGCAGTATCGAAGGTGTGAATTGTGACATGGTGATAGATACGGGATCTAACATTACAATTTTGAGACCGGACGTATTGGGGCGAGTTTCGAAAGACGTAGACATTGATGTACAGCCAGTAGACAGTTTATTACGGACAGTAACCGGTGAAACAACACCAGTACAAAGTCGTGGTAAGTCGTGGCAGCTTTTCAAGTTGGTTCAAGAAAAATTTGAAAGTCGTACATGATGTATGGATTGCAGATGTCGAGAACGAGTGTATTTTGGGACTAGACTTTCTGATTTCGAATGACTGTGTTGTTGATGTACAAGAATCCTGTTTGCGTATTGGCCCGGAAGAAATTCGATTCAAGGGGATGACAGCCACAAAGAAATCAGTTTGTCGCAGAGTGATGGTTGCTGAAACATGGTTGGTTCCACCGAAGAGCGAAGCGATAATTCCAGGAATGCTGGACGGTGATGGTAGTTCTGAAGAAGGTTGGGGAGAAATCAACCCTAGCAAGGAACCAGGATTGTCCAGTGATATTCTCGTAGCAAGGACGGTTGTAGATATTCGTAAGCCCATATTTGCTGTAAGAGTGTTAAACATGTCGGATGATGAACGAATAGTCCGTGAAGGTACAGATGTTGCTAGTTGTGAAATCATCGACAGTGTGACCGTGGTGGGGAAGACTGAGCCTGGAAGTCGTGAAGCGAGTGATGAGTTACCTGAAGTGGTAAAGAAGCTTTATGACCGTAGTTCCGGAGGTTTGGACGATTCACAAAAGAGTCAGTTGTATTCGTTGCTGGTGGAATTTAAAGATGTGTTTTCAGAAAGTTCAGGTGACATAGGGAGAACATCTTTAACTTCACACAAGATTGACACTGGTAACCAAAAACCGATCAAACAACAACCGCGGCGTCTACCACTGGCGAAGGTGGACATTGCACAAGAGGCGATTAAAGGAATGCATGAGCAAGGAATTATCGAACCTTCAAGCAGCCCCTGGACAGCGCCTATTGTCTTGGTGAAGAAGAAGGACGGCACAAACAGGTTCTGCGTTGATTACAGAAAGTTGAATGATGTGACGAAGAAAGATTCCTACCCGCTCCCTCGAATCGATACGACACTTGACGCGTTAGCTGGCTCGAAGTGGTTTTCAACTCTGGACATGAAGAGTGGTTATTGGCAGGTGGACTTGGAACAATGTGACAAAGAAAAAACGGCGTTCTCGACAGGCTACGGGTTGTGGCAGTTCACCGTTATGCCATTTGGGTTATGCAACGCCCCCGCTACATTCGAAAGGTTGATGGAGTTAGTTTTGGCTGGTCTGCCTTGGAGCGTGTGTCTTCTCTACTTAGACGACATCTTGGTACATGGAAAGACGTTCGAAGAAGAGATACTTAATCTACGCGAAGTCTTTGGTCGTTTTCGAGCAGCCAACCTCAAACTGAATCCGAAGAAGTGCGAGCTGTTCAGACAGAAAGTGCTCTATCTGGGACATATTGTGACCCAAGAAGGAATTTCAACGGAACCAAGCAAAGTTGAAGCTGTGACTACGTGGCCAAGACCTACGAACAAGCGAGATTTAAGAGGATTTCTAGGACTTTGCTCGTACTATCGCAAGTTCATTAAGTCATTTGCCGACATTGCAAGCCCATTGCATAAACTCACCGAGAAAGAAACTGTGTTTGATTGGTCTGAACAATGTGAGGAAGCGTTTGGAGAATTGAAGCGTCTTTTAACGGCAGCCCCAGTGTTGGCCTACCCAATTGCGTCAGGGAGATTTACGATAGACACGGATGCGAGCGAGAGAGGAATTGGCGCTGTCTTATCTCAAGAACAAAACGGAATAGAAAGAGTTGTCGCGTACTTTAGTCGAAGTCTGAGCAGAAGAGAACGAAATTACTGTGTGACGCGAAAAGAGTTACTGGCAGTGGTCAAAGCAACAGAAAAGTTTCATTATTATCTCTATGGTCAACGATTCGTGGTGAGAACTGATCATGCTTCATTAAAGTGGTTGTTCAATTTCAGGCAGCCAGAAGGACAGATTGCTCGTTGGTTGCAGAAGTTACAAGAATATGACTTTGAGATCGTGCATCGTGCAGGAAGAAGTCATGTCAATGCAGATGCTTTGTCACGACGACCATGTTATGAGTCAGCATGCAAGTTCTGTTCGGCTTTAGAAGATAAAGATAATGAAAACGAAGCGATAAGTGAGGAAGAAGAAAGGGATATGCGCGGAAATGGAATTTCAAGAGGGGCGACCATAAACCAAGACGAACTGTTGTTTCAAATTTGGACAAAGGAAGAGCTCAGGACGAAGCAAGTGGAAGATCCAGATATTAGACATGTGATGGAATGGAAGATTAACGGAAGACCAGAATGGAAAGACATTTCGGCTATGAGTCCAGTTACAAAATCATATTGGGCGCAGTGGGCATCAATTGATGTGGTGGATGGAATCCTTTATCGACGTTGGGAGGATGCAAGTGGACGTGAAGTGAAGTATCTCTATTTAACACCAAAGGCGATTCAAGATGATGTTTTGCGAAATCTACATGACTCTCCAACTGCGGGACACTTCGGCGTGAAGAAAACGTTAGCTCGCGTTCGACAACGTTTCTATTGGATAAACCTAAGATGGTCAGTGGAGAACTGGTGCAGAAAATGTGAGAAATGTGCGTCGCGTAAAGGATATCCTAGAAGAGCCAAAGCTCCGTTGAAATTGTACACCGTTGGTTCGCCGATGGAGAGGATAGCTATCGACGTGTTGGGACCGCTTCCAAAAACAGATTCGGGAAACCAATATATACTCATTGCTCAAGATTACTTCACGAAGTGGCCGGAAGCCTTTGCTCTTCCAGATCAACAAGCAGTTACAGTCGCAGAAGTGTTGGTCAACCAGTTCTTCACTCGGTTTGGGATCCCTATGGAGTTACATTCTGATCAAGGGAGGAATTTCGAATCTGAAACTTTTCGAGAAGTTTGTCGGTTACTTGGAATTAATAAAACGAGAACAACTCCTTACCATCCTCAGTCGGACGGAATGGTGGAACGTTTTAACAAGACAATAGAAGATGGATTGGCGATGTTTGTGAATGCTCATCAAACCGACTGGGACATGCATATTCCTCTGTTGTTAATGGCATATCGTAGTGCAGAACACGTAGCAACGAAGATTAGTCCATCCCGGATGATGCTTGGTAGAGAGATGAAATTGCCTATTGATGTTTGGGCAGGACGACCGGAAGGTGGTGAGATGCCACGAAGCAGCCCGATGTACGCGCAGAAGTTACAAGAAAAGATGGACGAAGTGCATATGTTTGCAAGAGATAACTTAAAAATCAGTTCTGGTGCGATGAAGCAACATTATGACGTGAAGGCTATGGCAGTGAAATACGAAGTTGGCACGGGTGTTTGGCTTCATAACCCACAACGGAAAAAGGGAAGATCACCAAAGTTGAGCAGAAATTGGGAGGGCCCTTACGTTGTGGTGAAGCAAATAAATGACGTTGTCGTTCGAATAAAGAAGGGGCCCCAGGCAAAGCCCAAAGTCGTGCACATCAATCGACTGAAACCTTACACAGGTGGAGAGTATTTTGGTTGGTTCGCAGAGAAAGGAAGCAATGGTTCCGGAACTTCGAGGAACTTAGATATCGGCAAGTCGACTTTACCTGGGGTGAGGACAACATCAAAGAAAGAGAGTAATGGTAAAAACACAAACAGTAGGACCACGGTTGAATCGTTGCGTCGCGGTATACGAACTAGGAAACAACCACAAAGATATACACCGTAAGATTTTGGGTTGAAATTGTTCAACGGAGACCGATGAACTGGGGAGAGGGCAATGTAGTGCCGGTCAGAGAACAATTGGGACAAATGACTATTATGTGTGTTATGTGTGTATTGTGTGTTACTATGTAAATTTGTAAATAGAACAATAAAACTATATAGGCGTGAAAACTAATTAGGTTATGTAAATTGACAGTGTGTATAAAAGGACAATTTTAATACGATTTGCTGTGATTTCTTTAGTAAATAAAGCGTGTTTGTACGAAGTTGTTTTACTTTTCTGTGGCGGGTTTTTTTTCGACACGATCTCGCTTAATCTGGCACAACAGATATATAGATATATAGATATATATATATATATATATATATATATATATATATAGATATATATATATATATATAATATTTCTCTGTATAGACCGAGCAAGCGAAATTAATAAAACGTTTATTACATGGCATTTATACTTTAAAGAAACAACAAATGCATGATTTAAAATGCATATAATAATAGTGTGGTACACATTTGGTCAAAGAAAACAAAAAATACCAATGTATTCCTTCTTTTCCACTAAAAACCATTCGCACATATCTTACCAATAACAAATTAAATTATAATTTTCAATTAGCTTTGCTGTTTTATTGGGAAAATAATAATGGACTGCTGAAAGTGCTTTTCAGCCAATCACAGTCCGCCATTTCATTGGAAGTGATGCTTGCCATATAATAATACATGATAATTATGTTTGTTTTCTGTATTTTAGAATCTACCAATAACGGAGTATTGAAACAAAAGTGTCAGCAAGGTTTGTAATATTCAAATGTATTAATTCAAAACCTTTTATCGTATAAAATTTAAGCAGTATACTTTCATTGGGTATACATTCATAGCGTATAAAGTGTGCAGTACTGTACTATCTTTGAAATATTGCAATTTATTGTAGCCCATGTTCCTGGTGAACTGAATCGAAAATCTGTTGCTGCTGCCTTCTGGGAATGTGAGCTTTATAATGAGCTACTAGACATAGATTTGGCAGAGAAATGGTCATTTACCAAAGAGAAGACTTGCTCAAATTCATCTGGCTCAAAAGATGCTGCTGCTGAATTTATTGTGCGTAGCCAAGTTGCAACATCATATGATCACAAATGCTATGAGGGTTGTCGAAACAAAGGCATAGTAATGCACTGCAAGTTTATGCCCAGCGGGCAAAATGATGTTTATCCAACGTTGAATCAACGTTGGAAATGACCTTCCAGACGTTGGATAGACGTTGAAAAAGGGTTGACTATGCAAATCGGATCGGCGTTACTGTTTCGACGTTGAAACAACGTTAAAATTAGGTTGCCAATTTCGTCAACCATATTTCAACGTTGAATCAACGTTGAAACAACGTTGAGATTGGTTCACAAATCGACGTCGTACATTTAACCATGAATGAACGTTGGTTCAACGTCTGTTGGCTGCTGTTGAACCAATGTTTGTAAAACAACGTCAGAGCAACGTAGATATTAGGTTGTCGACGTCGCAACCTTTTCTCTACCAAATTTCAACGTTGAAACAACGTCGTGTGCCCGGTGGGTGGTTAATATGAATTGATTATACTGCAGTATAATTGCATTGACTACTACAGTATAATTGCATTGATTATACTACAGTATAATTGCATTGACTATACTACAGTATAATAGCATTGATTATACTACAGTATAATTGCATTGATTATACTACAGTATAATTGCATTGATTATACTACAGTATAATTACATTTCTTGAAATTCAGGACACAGCTGTGACAGTCTAATTTTTCTTTAATTAAATAATAAATGCTATTTCCTTTTATTAATTGTGTTTTTGAATGATAAGGCAGGACTGTTAGGAATGTAAGGTGGCCAAAATTTCACCTAGGCATGTACTCGAAATGTTTCAAAATCAATTAGCACAGTCATAAGCTTTTCACATTTACATCTCACTTAACCGGTAACATCTTCCAGAAAAGGTATTGGGGTTTGCTGGAATCCTGAGAATTTTCCCAGTGGCATAAAAATTGCCCCTAATTAAGGAGCAGTTGCAAACTGATGGTTAAGTACCAAAAACCACTGAATGCAAGTCCACCCGAGTATAAATCCCCTATGTGTATAAGCCCCCTATGTGTGTAAGCCCACCATATTTACTAACATTCAGGCCATTCCAAATATAAGCCCGTCTACACAGGGGGGGTTGACAAAACGTGGACCCCCCTTTCTGGACCCCTAATCTGGAGCCCAATCTGGACCCCAATCTGGACCCTATTCTTGACCTTTTAAAAACCTACAGACCAGATTGTAGGACACAACTATTTGGATTTCAATATAACGATGATCGATTTGATTCATTTAGCTTTTTTCGACTTTCTGAATCCTCATCCTGATCATTTCAGTCATAATCTTGTACATTAGGGCATTGCTGGGCAACATAGTTATCCAATTAGAAATTTCTTACTGCAATAGTTTTCTTGTTTCATGTTCTTTTGAATAGGGATAAGCACTTTCAGTAAACTGCATGTGGTTTTTGTGACCTTGTAAAATACTGTGTAATGACATTGTCAATGTAGTGTTGGGTTGCTATAAATCGGCAAATTTACCCCGCTGCATTTACAGCAAAAATGTCAACAAATATTGGCTTGTGGCCAAATTATCGGTCACTGCCGAAGCCATCTCAACAAATGCGGGTTGGGGACGGACTGCTTACAGCTACCTATGTAATGTTTTCTTAATTTGCATGTTTTCTTTTGGTTTTTAAAAGGTCCAGAAAGGGGTGCAGAATGGGGTGCAGAAAGGGGTCCAGAAAGGGATCCAGAATGGGGTCCAGAAGGGGGGGTCCACGTTTTGTCAACCCCCTATACAGGGTGTATAAAAAAAACTGAACAAATTTGAAATTGCTCTCAATTTTGCAAAACAGCTATTAGTATCCAGTTTTTGATATATATGGCTTGTTTAGGTACTTATAATGTAGAATGAAAAAAATTTCTCGAACACAAATTTTGTAAACCGGGGGGGGGGGGCAGTCTTTTCCGACAAACTAAAAATGGGTTGCGCATGAGATTTAAAAGCTATAATCGTATTTTGAGTTAATGGATGAAACATTTGTTGAATGTTTAATTGCTGCATGAAATTTCAGACAATTTGCTTCAGATTAAGCCCTTCAACTATTCACACAAACTTACATTTTTCCTAAAAAATCAGCAATTTGCATGCTTAATTAATGCATTTGCCCAATTTGCATCTTTCAGCATTATGCAAATTAGGTAAAGGCATTAATTAAGCACGCGAAAGGCTGATTTTTTAGGAAATAATGGATAGTTAAAGGGCTTAAACTATAAAAGCAAATTGTCTGAAATTTTGTACTGTAATTAAAAACCCAACAAATGTTCCATCCATTAACTCAAAATACGATTAAAGCTTTTAAATTTTGTGCGCAAGCCATTGTTAGTTTGTTGGAAAAGACACCCCCCCCCTGGTTCACAAAATTTGAGTTTGAGAATTTTTTTTCATTATTCTACCTTATAAGTACCCAAAGAAGCTATATTTGAGCAATTTCAAATCTATTCAGTTTTTTTGATACACCCTGTATATACGCCCCTCCATTTACAGGCTTTATATTATTGGACAGGTATATTATTAACACAGTGACAATAATTACACCAACTTGTTTTATGTATAGATTATAAACTGTATGTTTATATTAATTATCGTTCACACTATTATTTACAAGTACGATAAATGTTATTCCTAACATCAAATGTTTTCCGTATATAACCCCCCCCCCTGTATACAGTATATGCCATCCCATGCTTATGAACGAATATAAGGCCAGGGCTTATATTCATAGGTGTACCGTAGAACCCTGTTAAGTGTTACGCTACTGGCTTACCTTACGTGTGAATAATAAACAATTTTCTAATTAATTTCATAGTAAAACAATAATGGCAGCATAGGCAATTATATTTCTTTTATTAGGCTACTATTTCTAGGTGTACTTGGTTTTTGGGAAGAGAATATATTCTAATCTGATGATTATATATGTTCTCATATTTTCCAACTGAAATAGAACTAAAATTTCCCAGTACTTGGATTAAAGATGCTTCTTGGAAGCGATGGATTGATATTGTAACAAAGCCTTGTGTTGTGCTCCCGCCCTGGGGGTGGGGATGTTTACAAAGAGTAGCCATGGCGGGATACCTGCATGCTTCATCCTGGGGAAATACCTGCATGCTTCATCCATTTTGAAATTACACTTTCATGTTTACAAATCAGGGTTTAATTTCAAGTACCTTTCATTTGGCATTTTGACCAAATTCTAAAAATTGCCACCATGGGTTTCATGCCAAAATCGAGAATTATATGCAAAAATTCTTCCTTCCCTCAGAGGTTTGTGTGTGTGTGTGTGCGTATGCCCATCAAATAGTATTAGATAGTATTTATTTCTTTGTACATAAAATACTTACAGTTGTAAATTAAATGATGTTTTATAAGGCTGTGGGAAGTTGTATGTGCTGGATGGGAATTGGAAACTGTGTTATGCACACTGCATGTTTCCTGTTCAAGTGGAAATTCTTGGATATGAAGGAGAAATAATCCTGATGTCTGCCCAAGGAGCCCTGAGTACCAGTCAGCCTTTTGTGACAGACATTCCCCCCTAGTGAAACAGAAGGGGATTCCAACAAAACTGAGACCATTTCTGGATTATTGCCAGAGGAAAAAGAAAGGTATTGTAAGTTATTATAATTGCATATAGTGTAGACATTATCTATTGTTTTGTTCTTTTTAAAATTTCTCAATGTCAGACAACTGTAATTTTTATAAACACTTCCTCAATAAAACCGGTCATGAACAATAGCGTAGCCAGCCCGACGATTTAGTCCCGCTATGCAAATATTTTCGTGTTCATTGACTGTGAAAACAATCAATTTCTAAAAAAAATGAATAACGATAATGTTCAATTTGCATATAGCACCCGGCATGCCTGTATATTTAGTTTTTTTGCAGGTAGCCAAAAAAATTTGCAGTTAGCCCTGTGTGGTCGAAATTTGGCCGCTTCACTTGAAGCTTGCAAATTGTGACAGGGGACCGGGCACTGAAGAAATTTGTTTGAGTTATGTTATGCTTCATATTGTCAAAATTGAGTGTCCACTAATTTGCTCAAACCCAATTGGTTGAAAATTTTCATATATCAAGCCGACAAGATTGTCGGCTGACGAATAAAATTCGGCCACAGAACAGGAAATTTTATGCTTTTGATGGCATCGTTTGATGAATTTACGTCTTGAGTACGACTCTTATTAAATCTGGTCGGTGAATATTGCAAAATGTATTGGGAAAAAGTGAAATTTCTTTACTTAAGCATGCATATAAGACCTTCTGACCAAGGATTGCAGTTAGCTTCACGCACTTGCAGGTAGCGCCGCGACTTAGGATCCCAACATCTGACAGGCATGAAGAGCGGGACTAAATTGTCGGACTGGCTATGCCACTGGACTCATGAAATGATGAAAATGTTATTCTAATTTTAATAGAACCCAGTGATGCACTAAAGGAATTAAACGCTGAAATTCCTGATGTCAGTGAAGACAATGCAGCAGTATATCAAGGTGCAGTAGTAATAAAAAATCAGTATATAATACTTAAATGGCAATATACTGTGGTTGTAAGCATTCCGAATAATTGCGTTATAACTGATTAACCCATTAAGTTGTAAGACTTCCTGTAAACGAATAAAGCAGGGTGCACTTGGGTGCATTGACAGTCAATGAGTTGAAACATTTTACTAGCTAAGTTGACCATTAATTTGAAGACCGTTGTGATATATATTTTGTTTAACTCGTATTGTAGGTACCAGGTTATTTATGGCTAAAAATCAAGCTATTGTTAAAGACTGCGAGGAACTGGAGGAAGTGACGTGTAACAAGGATACTGTTGGAAAACGACGCCTGCAGAAATGGTCAAGGGGTATTTTCATCATTGCTACAGCTGGTGGACATATCGAGTATTGGCAGCCTCTTTACAAGTAAGCAAATACTGCATGGCTTTTATTATATGCAGTCGTTCAACCTTCACTATTTAAATATAATAATTCGGTTGATGGTAAAGTAATGTGTGGCATTTTCCTTGTACTGTAGGTCCGAATCACCCACACAAGCCTTCGTCATCACCATTGTGTGGTTGCACAACAAATTCTTGGAATTGAAAAATGATGGTATGAATGTGAAGGAAACCGTGCTAGCGTATGACAATATGTGTCATTTGAACTCCCTTCGTGCCGCTTGCAAGGATTTGCCTCTACCTCCTCCGTTTGATAAGATGTGGAAGAGCATTGAAAAGGTCATTGATAGGTTGCACTTGCAAAACCACAAGGACCCTTCATGCAAAATCAACTACAACCCAGATAACATCCTCTCAAAATCCTTCAACACAATGGCAGCTGAGCAGGTTAATGTTTGGGCCAGCAGACTAAAAAGAATCATGGTTGCAATGCCATACATTCATCACATGTTCTTTTTTCACCGAATGGTCAAGAGAAGAAATGCATATACGGAACTATGTTATCAAGTAGGAAAGCAGCCGATTGCTCCAAAAGCTGCAAAGAAATGGTGCCAGCTGGCTTAAATGTGAATTACAAACTTAATTTTGTAAATATTTATAGGAATTGTATATTGAATATTAGCAATTTCCCATCATATTGTTTATTTTTTGGCCCTCCAAACAAGCGACTAGACCCAGTCCTCTGCTCAATGCGGAAATGGCCAATTATGATAATGATTTTAGATATGCGCTGTATTTTTATATATGACCGGTAATAGTTTCTGGATAAATAAATTCACAACTATTTACGTTTAAAGACTGAGTTTGACAATCAAGATTTTGATTTTTACCATAGATAAAGTTTTAACAAAAATTGTTTCCTTAAAATAACATTAAATATTGTAACTTGTTTAATTAATCCAAAACTATAAATCGAATTTTGGACATATCTGGCGGTAGTTCATGATCTTTTACTTTTAGTTCTTCGTTCTATTGAAATAATACAACAACAATAAATAAGAACAAGAACAAAGTTTTGCATTAGTAGTTCAGTGATAGAAATGATTTAACCAACCCGCAAATACAGCAACCATTAATTTTGTGGAATCACGAATATTGACTTCCCTTTAGTTGTGACTTGCTTAATCCGTACAAGTAACTACATACAGGGCCTCTCATAGACAAGTGGGGGCCCGGGCAAACAATAATTTGGGGGCTTTGAAGGTACGTTTGGGTGACTTGCCGGGCGTTCATCCTGGACTGAATTTTTTTCTTCCAAAGACCTTCCTCCCGTCGAGCTAGAGTCAACTGGTCTACATACTTTTCAACCCGGTGTGGATATACACTCATAGTAAATCAAAAACATTACATTCATCTGAGTACATAACATCAAAACACAAAAATATACTATTTAATATCATTGTGGAACCTGCCAACTTGTTTCCTTTTTTCCTTTGTTTTCATCTCGGATACAACTGGCTCATTTTCGAGAGAAATACCACTGTCTTTAAAAAAAGTCAACGAAAATAGTTTACTTTGCATACTGTAATATCCAATTTACGTTAAGCGTTATGTCTCCCAGTGTATTAGTATTCTTGGGTTTCATATTCCAGTTGGGTTTCATATTGCCATTGCATAATGCCGTAGCAAACTCAAGAATTGTCTGCAAGAAACTGTTCTATTTCCCCAGTACATGTCTGTTCTCACTGTTCAGTACTTTAAGATGACACTTCTCCGGCACAAAATTATGACTCAACTACATTATCGATAGGTTCGAGTTTCTATACATTTTGCAGCTCATTTGGCCTAGGCCTAACTGCTAAAAGACAAACATAATTAAATTATTTGAACAAATAGCATAAATACCATTCAGCACGTTTGTGTCTGATGGAGAAGACTTGTCGCCTTCTAGATTGTAATGAACATAATAAAAATGAATTTTAGGGTGTTTTGGCACAGTTATATAAGACAAGCATATAACTGCCAGTGTTTACAACTGGTATGTGGCCACTTGTTATTTGCTTATCAGGTGGATAGGTTCAATAAAAAATCAAATGAAATTTGTGAAATCCACGATTTACCTGAGTGGTTGTTTGAAACCATTTGGGAGAACGCACTTGCTGGTAAAATTTTAAGTGCTGCAAGTTCACGCACGTCCTGTTGGACCTGTTGTTCTAATGTGCCGATGGTTGTATGTAGCTCTTTTTCCGTCACTCTCCACGTTCTCTCTTTAATGCCAAGCTCCTGCTCTAAAAGAGTAACTCTCTCTTCAAGCTCAGCCTGTCTCTTTTTCATCAGTTAACGCTTTCTCTAACATTCCCTTTTCCTTGATCAGCGTTTTGTTGTGATCTACTTTGACATTCAGTGCGATTCTGAGCGAGTGTACAGTCTTTTCATTACCCGGCTCTATACCATCATCATCATTCCATTTGTATCTTCTGGTTCATCACCAAAAGCTGTTTAAAACATCAGATGAACATACACTGTACTATAATAAACTGTACACTGTAAGTGTGTTTATTTACCTAGTTTGAAATATATTATTATTAAAATATATATTAAGTTTAAGGATATATTGTCATAAAATGTTATACCTTTATCGATCAAGGCGATAACATCATTGTTCACGACTTCTCTTGGAATTTTAACGCACTTTCGCTGAGCTCCCCCAAAGCAACTTGAGTGGTCTACAGACGCTCCTTCTTGCTCGCTTATTGCCTTTCTTAACTTCGTTAGGTTAAAAGAAGCTCGGGGACCAACTCTTCTCTTCATGATTGCGAGTAAGTTGGGTAAAATAATGTGCATCACATTCCCATGGTGTCGCGTTGGAACATTGTTCTTCATGCATTCTCGTAATTCCTATGGGAAGAAATTCCATAATTTTTTAATGCAATAATATTAATAAGCTGTTTGTTTTCTTGCTTTTTATATTGTTCAATAAATTATATTATACCTACCTCGTCTGGCACTGTTGTGTTTATCAAACTCTTTCCAAAACATTCAATAAACTCGTCGAATCCTGACGTTTGCTCTTTCACAGGATTTGACCCTTGAAGAATTATCTTGCGCACATATGGAAGGAAGTTTTCTTCCAAGTAGTCTTCGTACCCTTCCACTGTTTCTTCCAAGTAGTCTTCGTACCCTTCCACAAGTTTTCTTCCAAGTAGTCTTCGTACCCTGTCAACATAGACGAACAATAAATTATTGGATGAGGCTTTCGCATGACATCAAGAATTATTCAGACCTCGGCCAATGTTATCCGCCTCATCTTCGCTTCGGCAGATAACATTAACATCGGTCTGAATAATTCTTGATATCATGCTCAGCCTCATCCAACAATTGTTTATTAATATACATTGTAGTTGGTAAAAGCGATTTGATTGGCTAAGAGCTTACAGTTAAATCACGCAATCACGCAACATACAGAAAATTCAGTTATCTGCTAGCATATAACCAAGTTATCTGCAAATAAGCCTGCAATGATTAGCAAGTGGTATCTATTTAACACAAACAAATGTATAATAAAACAATTGAATTCGGTTTTTGCAATATGCAAAATCATCAAGGTCTCGGCAAGTGAGATCATGTTAGGGTTGAGGACAATATCACGACAGATCAGTTTTATTGTCTTGTATCTGAATATTTCTATTCGAACTTGCGAACATTTTAAGTAAATCAAATACTAATTGCAGCACTGAGTAGTTTAAGAAATACTTTAATTTAATACCTCGTGTACAATAGCCTTGTAATAACCGTAGAGTTTGTGGACTCGTGGTGGCAAAGTGGGACATTTTCGTTTAAAGAACCCGACTTGATCATCCACAAGGGTCTTGTTCTGTACAAACTTTGATCGGACCATATTTGTATTGAGAGAAGTAATTAAGCTCATTTAAACATAGCATTAAGTTTACAAACAAATAGCCAAGGCTAACCGCTGTATCCTAAAAGCTCACTCACACTCAAAGAGTGGAGGTTCAATCTGAGCTTCCCTTGATTGTCAATGCTGTTTTTGAATAGCTGGAGTGTTGGTGTCGTTCTATACTATGTGACTACTCACCCTCCAGCTATTCAAAAACTGCACTGACTCTCAAGGGGAGCTCAGATTGAACCTCCACTCTTTGAGTGTGAGCGTGAGTGAGCTTTTAGAATACAGGCGTAAGTGTTTTACATGCTGCTTACCTCAGGTCATCGTCCATTTCAAAATTGGCCGCCAAAATCACGTTGGTCAATGGTACTTCTTTCCCTCTTCCTTTTGTCTTTTTCCCCTTAGAATCAAATGATCCAGAGAGGACAGATGTCACAGTTGAGGCGTATTTGGGGTCATCCCAGCACAAGGGTATGGTTGTCTTCTTTAGAAGTGATTGGATCACCTCCCCGGTTGCTAGCGATTCCATTTCGCAATCACCTCAATGGTCGTGGACTTTCCCGAACTAGGGAAACCTATTGCCATAGGAGCGGGGCATGCATCTGTAAAGAACGAAAAGAGTTAAAAAGAATTAAAAAATGAAGCAATATTTACCAGTGTTGTAGTCAAATCCACAACTTACAAGTCCGAGTCCTATACAATACATTCGAGTCCAAGTCCCTTAGCAAAATTTCAATTTCAAAATTTTTGAGTCCGAGTTTTAAATATTTCGAGACTAAGTCAGAGTCCAAAATGATAAAGTATGATCATATTTCCACAAACCACTTCGCATTTTCGCAAAATCACGATCTAATCAAAGTAATATGGTGGCAAACAGATCAGACTATAGTGATATTCAATTTCGAGTTTAAAACATATACAGTGCAAAGCAGTATATATAAGGCCCTACATTACATGCAGTGCATGCATGTGTCTGAATAAAATAAATGGAACATTTAATTTAAAGTATTGAATTCTGTAAACAGATATATTTTTCTATATCGAACGAAAAAGCATTGATTAATAATTAAAAGGTCGTAAGATATAAATCATGTGATCTCCACCTCTCTCATCTGGTCAGTAAGTTATTCACACGTATCGTCGAATTTTGTCGCAAAATTAAAACAAATTGCGTAGTGTTTCCATATTGGCATATATTCTTGTCTCGAAAAAGGTCTTTGTCTCGAAATTAAGCTTGAAACCCGTCCTGACAGAGCAATTTGTGTTGTTTTAACACCGGGTGGCAATAGAGGCCATAATTTTAACGAAGCAATGAGTTATCAACGAGGAAATTTAAGTGGTGGACTCGTACATGACTTGACTTTTAAATTCCCAAGGATTATTTTTTAAACCTTCAAATATTGCTCTTAAGGCTGGTTTCCAGTCAGTGGAATTTTGCCAGCGGGGCCAGTGGGCGGAATTTTTCAGGCGGATTTTGCTGCGGGCGGATTGATGGCAATGCACAGTCAGCGCATTTTGCAATTTATTTTCCGCAAAATGGCGGCTACTAGCAATGGCAAGCAGCTTAGACGAATAATTCTTCTTTACTTGTTGAGAAGACGTATCCAGAGAAGAAAGTATTTCAAGAGCAAGTGGGTTAGAAAGTTATTTGTTGAACGAAAAATAAAAGGCGAATTTTGGTTACTAATTAAAGACATGGAACTTTACGACCATGAATACTTTTTCAAGTCGTTCAGAATGAGTTCTACTTCTTTGGAGCAACTTCTTTCATGGATAGGCCCTCGTATTTTCAAGTTGTCGCAAAGACGAGAATCCAAAGGAAAGGCTATGTGTTACCTTACGTTATCTTGTCACGGGTGATGCACAAGTAACTATCGCTGCATCGTACAGAATAGGTCCAGCAACTATAAGTAAAATAATAAAGGAGACAACAAAAGCCATTTGGGACGTTCTCGATGAAAAGGGATTTTTGTGTGTTCCTAGAACTGCAATAGAGTGGAAGGCCATTTCGAAGGACTTTAAAGAAAAGTGGAACTTCCCTAATTGTATTGGAGCTATAGATGGCAAGCATGTTGTTGTCCAAGCACCGCCCAGATCTGGGTCTGATCTTTTCAATTACAAGAAGACATTCAGTATTGTTTTAATGGCAGTTTGTGATGCCGATTATCAGTTTACCCTTGTGGACGTGGGAGACGCAGGCAGACAAAGTGACGGGGGTGTTTATAGCAACAGCAAGCTGGGTTTTGCAATTGACAATCAATTACTTGGTTTTCCCTCAAGTGAAAAGCTGCCCTCCTCTGAAATTAAAGTTCCTTCTGTCTTTGTGCCTGATGATGCATTTCCACTAAAGAGCAACATCATGAAACCCTATCCGGGCAAGCAGGGTGATGTTACCAAGAGCATCTTTAATTATCGGTTATCAAGAGCTTGTCGAATTATCGAGAACACATTTGGCATTGCTACATCAAGATTCAGGGTCTTTAGAAGGCCAATAATTGCAAGCGAGTCAACTGCCAATTCTATCGCTAGAGCCGTGGTTGCTTTGCATAATTACCTGATGGTAAAAGGTCACACACCGAAAGCAGTTACAACTATTGCCCACCTGGTTACATTGATGTTGATGCTGGTGCCTCACTTAAACCTGGTAACTGGCGAAGCGATACCCAATCGACTGCTGGACTAATTCCAATTGGTCAGACTGGGTCCAACAACTACTCGCAAAGTGCAAGTGCAGTGCGAGAAAGATACAGGGAGTACTTTAATAGCCCTGAAGGGGCAGTTCCATGGCAAAATGACATTGCACTAGGCATAACAAATCCATTTGACAAAGCAGTTGGATTTTAAACTTTATTTAAATATATACAGTGTGTTGTATAAATAATACATCATTCAATTCCAGCAATGCCCATCTCCTCAGACAGTTACACACTTAGCATTTTGATGTTCCAGGTGTGCATAAACTGGAACTTCTGGAATTGACTAATGCATAATAATTTAATTTATGAATACAAATAATGAAATTGTTCTCATGTTAAATAATTTAAAATAATTAATTGATGAATTAATAAATGTTTCAACTGTTCGACATTGTGCAATCACTGTATTCGAAATATGTCCTTATGTGTAAAATTCACATAAGGATTTATAATACATTGCATAAATTATATTTTTGTTTATTATACTTTTATGTCAAAACATGTAGTTACACTCAAAATTTAATTCTACTCTTCAGAATCAGGAAATTTCAGAGTAAAAAGTAGCTGCTGGATTTGCACCTTTGCCTTCATATTTTCTTTAGTTCCCAAAGAGTTTAAAGTTGGGATTAAGCTTTGACAAAACAAGGTATCAGAATCAGATTCTGCAGATTTGGCTTCTGGCATTTCCTGTGTTGTTGGTTTGTCCAAGTCTTTTAGTGCTTTCAGTAGCATTGTATCAACTTGGTCACTAGCTTTCCTAGCTCTGCTCACCGGTCTTTTTTCATGAGAACATATAACACCGTCCAATGCTTTTCTTTTCTTGACAGATGGTGTTTCTTCATCTTTGATTGTAACTACAGGTTGCTCTGGCAACAAAGATGAATCTGCTGTTGATCCTAAACCAAGTTTCACATTGCTAACTGTATCTCGATTTGCAATTTTATCCTGCAGAAATGCTAAGTTTTCAAAATACTTGCATGTTGACGTTTTACATGCAGCTGCGCCAGATCTCATTTCCCTGTTTCGCCTGTCAAGACATCGTTTCAAATTGTCTTTTAAATACTTCCACTGAAGCTTCAGAAAATCAACTAGAAAACAAAAAATATGATAATTATTAAAGACAAGCATCAGCATGTGTTAGGGAGAAGGAAACCTTCTGGAAAACCTTTTCAGGCTGTGCAGGCTGAGTAAATATACTTATTATTATTTATAACTAAACACAACATGTTTTTACTTTTTAAGACTATAGTGTTCACAAAAGGTAAAAACCTGAGCCGCATAACAAAAACAGAAACACAACAAAAACAGTAATATCAGATGGCAACATTGAGTGTATTGGGCCATTTTGTGGAAAATTTAAATAAAAGACCCCCTCCCTTGTTGGAAATCTAGACCCCTCAATAGGGGGTGACCTATATTACATGGAATGGCCCGTTCTATCCGGGACTACAGATGAAGGCACGGCTGTCACCAGGCCTATTTGTTTTAGGGGTTTAATCACTATTGACAGTATAAATAATCATATACACAAACTAACCATCTTTGCTAAATTTTTGAGCAATCTGTTCCCATGCAATTTTCTTTCTGTTTGCTTCTTTGTAAACCCTCAACGAGGTGTTCCACAAGCAAGGGCGACTTCTGACTTCCTCTATCAAACCCTCGGCAGTGTATTCCTCGAGAAATGCTTCTTCTCCTGGTTCTCCATCATTATCAACATCTACTGCTTCTTCACCTGACACAGTATCTTCTATCACACTGACACCAACTGCAGTATTATAAATACAAACATATAAAATTAAAATCAACAAACCTCTGAGTTGACTGTCTGAGTCGTGACGAGTTTTAATACATGCCAAAAAGTCAAAAACATAAATAATTACACCAAATCAGTTCATATAGAGCTAAGCATTTATTATTAGTCGAATGTCAAACTTCAAAAGGGTCTTAATATACGGTATAAATTTTCACGACATACCTTCACGTGACGAACTACTTGCAGAAATTTGTTGACTTGGTTCTGGTTGATGTATTATGCTTCGGTTGATTTTGGGAAGATTTTCAAGAGCACTGAAGTCTATAGTATAGATATTTCTTTGATCTGTCCCTTTTTTTTGGCTTAATAGCATGGTTTTACGTCCTTCTATACCGCATACAATTCTTTTAGCATTGTCAGACATTTTTCTTTTCAAACCACAGCAATGCAGGAAGGTGTCTTCAAGACGCAATCTGATTGGTTGAAATAATTTTCCGCCGCTCGCAAAGCGGGAAAGTAGAACAAAGTCAACTTTTTTTTGTGCGCTTGAAGGAACTTGGAGGAAACTTTTCCGCCTGCTGACGCATACAAAATTACCATATGCGCATGCGCAGATCAAAATCCGCCTAAAAAATTCCGCCCGCGCGCAAAATTCCACTGACTGGAAACCAGCCTTTAGAATGTTAGCATCATATATTTTAAAATATTTAAATCTTGCACTGTATCCGGGTACAGTATATCCAATGTGAATCCATTTTAATAAGTGGCAATGTGCCCTGATGTTGCCTATTCTATTATTATACTCTGTCTAATGACAGATGATTTTACTCGTCAGGGGGAGAGTGCTGCCGCTCAATTGGTTATTATTAATTAATCAGAGTATCTGCCCATGCACCCTGTTAACCCATTAAGTGGCAATGCAGAATACTCTATTATTTTAATGTGCTGCGAGATTATACTGTATTACTACCTGAAATAAACAAGCAGTTTTGTTATTTCAGGTAGTAATATAACCACTCAGCAAATCATTTTCACATTGGTACTACCCACACTGGTACAGACAGTTTTAGTATTATGCTT